TGATAAAATTAGAACAAATAGGAGAGGAATGGGAAAGCTGTAAGTAGAAGAGTAAAGACCACCTTCACCCATCTATTTCATCTGGTGCCATTAATGGCCATGCCACCAGACCCTGGCTGGCTTGTTTAATTCAACCACCACACTGAGAAGTCAATGTCATATGCTTGATCCCTACGTGAATCAATGGGCATCAGTTTCATGGTCAAACAACTGCCCATTGCCCTGGCTGACTTGGCTCAGTGGTTAGAATGTCAGCCTGCTAAGGGCCTTGGGTTCGATTCCCACTCAAGGGCATGTACCTGGGTTGCAGGTTTGATCCCTAGCCCCGTTCAGGGTCATGTGGGTAGCAACCAACTGATGTGACTCTCTCACATCCATGTTTCTCTCTCCTCCCCTCATTCCCTTCCACTCTGTCTAAAAATCAATGGGAAAATATCCCGGGGTGAGGATTAACAAAAACAAAGACTTGCCTATATACCCATTCTCTTATAAATACCAGTACCTGTCCTAAAGGGATTCATAAGAAGTATGAACCAATCAATGCAATTTTATCACCATTACTGGAAAAATAACCAGGAAAACCTGACCTGTCAGTTAGTCCATAGTACAAATTTAATTTAGGGCCCTGCCGTTGTGGCTCAGTGGTTGAGCGTCAACCCATGCACCAAGAGGTTGCCGGTTTGATTCTGGGTCAGGGCACATGCCCAGGTTGTGGGCCTGTTCCCCAGTGGGGGTCATGCAGGAGGCAGCCAATTGATGTTCTTTCTAATTAATGTTTCTATCTCTCTCTCCCTCTCCCTTCCTCTAATATCAATTAAAAATTTTTAAAAATTTTGAAAGAACTCCCTGATAGGCTTGGATCAGAGAGATATAAGAAACCAGGCTTGCTACTTACTAGCCCTCTGTGTAACCTTGGACAAATTAATTTTTCAGAGCTTTAAAGATAAAACACATTAAGGTAGAACCTGACACACAAAAATGTTCAAATGATGCCAGCCCCACCCCCTTCCAGAGATAAAAGCTGGGACTTAAGAGTACAGGGAAGTGCCTGGCCAGAGTGGCTCAGTGAATTAAGCATCGTCCCATGGACTGAGAGGTCCTAGTTCTATTCCTGGTTGGGACACATGCCCAGGTTTCAGGTTTATCCCTACTGGGGGGCATGCAGGAGGCAGCCAATCAATGTTTCTATCTCTCCCTTCCTCTCTTTCTTTTTAAAAAAAAAAAAAAAAAGAGTACAGGGATGGAGCCAAGCCTACCTGTGTTCCAATCCTGGTTTTACAGCATACTAGCTGTGAAATTCTGAGCAAGAGACAGTCTTATCTTTCTCATAAAGCTGGGATAATGAACTGAAGCATTTAGATAGTGCTTAGCACACACTGAATGTCAATAAATGACAGCTAATTTTTTAAATTGTTAATAGGAGAAAGATATTATCATCACTGTCTGCTGATCAATGTTTCTCAAAGGGTGGTCAGGGAACAATGAATATCAGAAAGACTGGGAATGTCTATGGAAAAAAAAAGATCCCAAGTCCCAGCCCAACCTATTCAAAAGAGCTCTCCAAGAATAGTACCTCGTAATATTCATTTCTGAATCAAACTTTCTTGAGATGCATACTAAAATTTAAGAATTACTTATCCAGCCCTGGCCGGTTTGGCTCAGCGGTTAGAGCGTCGGCCTGTGGCCCAGAGAAACCCGGGTCCAGTTCCCGCTAAGGGCGCATGCCTTGTTTCAGTTTGTCCCTGGCCCTGGTTGGTCATGCTGGTGGCAGCCACTCGATGTGTCCCTTTCACGTCGATGTTTCTCTCTCTCTCTCTTCCTCTCTCTCCCTCCCATTCTATCTGAACAAAAAATGGAAACGTCCTCAGGTGAGGATTAAAAAAAAAAAAAAGAATTACTGATCCAGCTAGTCTTCACAGTAAATTAAGACGTATCTTCTAGTACTTACTTTTTATCATACTAGGAGAATTACCCAGTATCTGTGTGTCTTTTTAAAAATATTTTTTCTTTTTTTTTGTTCAGGTAGAGTGGGAGGGAGAGAGAGGAACAGAGAGAAAGAGAGAAACGTGGACGCGAAAGGAACACACCGAGCGGCCGCCACCCGCACAACCAACCAGGGCCGGGGACAAACCGCAACCGAGGCACGTGCCCTTAGCGGGAACCGAACCCGGGTCTCTCAGGACTGCAGGCCGACGCTCTAACCGCTGAGCCAAACCGGCCAGGGCTAAAATATTTTTTCTTTATTGATTTTAGAGAGGAAGGGAGATGGAGAGAGGTAGAAACATCGATGAGAGAGAACATCAATTGGCCGCCTCCTGCATGCCCCTCACTGGGGAACAGGCCCACAACCTGGGAATGTGCCCTGACCTGGAATCGAACCAGCGATCTCCCGGTGTATGGATCGATGCTCAACCACTGAGCTACATGGGCCTGGCTCAGTATCTGTTTTTTTAAAAATATATTTTGGCACTGTTTTGGACCTAGACATTAAATTGATAAGCTCACTCCTGCTTTGTTTTCCAATGTCATTACTTTCACTTTTTCCCCCTTTCTGACCAGAAGTTGGCACACTATGGCCTTGGTCTGTGGTCAATTTTGTATAACCCCAACTTCCAGTAGGAATATGTGTTCAAAGGGTTGTTTTAAAAAACAGAAGAATATGCAATAGAGACCAAATGTTGCTCACAAAGTCTATTTACTGCTTGAACCTTTACAAAAAAGTTTGCCAGCCCTTTGGTAACCTGTAGTTGTTTTTTTATTAATCCTCACCCAAAGATATGTGGGGTTTTAGAGTGAGAGCAAGGGAGAAAGGGGGAGAGAGAAAGAAACATTGACTGGTTGCCTCCCGTACACACCACAACTGGGGATCCAAACACAAAACCTAGGTATGTGCCCTGAGCAGAAATTGAACCCACAACCCTTTTGGTGCATGGGATGACACTCCAACCAAATAGGGCACCTGTGATTGTTTTTAAACTCCAGGTCTCAACACAATTTACTTTTTATAAAAGAGAGAAAATATTAGATAGTTTATACTGTACCTAGTAGAGGGAAGTGCCATTGTCAACATTTCTGATGTTTTGTACATGTGTGTATACTGGATAATTATCAAATTGCATTTGGTTGCAGTCAAAAAAGTTTTCAAGTCCTTGGGGGTAGGTTTGGGGTTAACAAGTATTTTTATTAAAACTCACACTGAGTAATTTTTACAATAAAGGTGCCTTGGAGAATACAAAACCATATCAAATGATCCCTGTTATTTAGAAGTTAATAGCTTATTATTTCATTGTAAAATAGAAATGAAATCTGCTCTGTATATAATATACATTGCTATAAGGAAAAAATAAAATCATCAATGCCAAGTACTTCAAAAGCATTATAGCAACAAAATATTTTTGTTATACCAACAACATATTGTACTGAGATATATAGGTTCTTCAGTGCCTTAGTTCCTAGTTTCCTCCAACCTTGGAAACTAGTTCTTTTTTCCTTTGTGTGTATGCATGTGCATATGTATATATACATGTGTGTATGTGTATGTCGGAAGCATAAAAAGAAGTATTAGATGTATCTGCCCTTTGTGTCATCCACTAATGGCTTCTCCTCATTTTTAAAATATGTATTATTTTATCTTTTTCTTGTTTCTAGTAAGAAAAGCATTTTATTAAATTCTTATGCAAAAAGAACGATCAAGAGTGATTAAAAAATTTTTAAGTAACAATCTTTCCTTTTATCTTCTTCCTAGAGCACTAATTTCCAGGGATTTTGTGATTGTTTTGAACAAGTTAAAAATATATTAATTTTATAACATATTTCAACAATTTTGCAAAGAAAAGAAATACCTTCCGTGGTACATACACAAGAAAATAACAGTTGAAAATGTTTTCATTATATGAAATGTGCTGCAGGCACACAAACCACAAGCAGTGTAAATATGTAAAAGCTGGTGCAATGCTGAATGCATGTTTGCTTTACACCACAAAGAGAAACACTTGTACAGTGCACACCATGTTGTTTCAGCTTGGGGTGTCATAAAGATGGGATTTAGGCATTTGTGTAAATACAGGAGATTGTAAATGTTCATGTGTATCTGTGTGTTAGGAAAAGAGAGTTGTAAGCAGAAGGGGTGGGACTTGCCAGGAGAAGCTATTTGAGAAAATTCCTTTTTCTTTTCCATTCATTCTTTCTAGCCTCACTGTCTGGCACACTCCTTACAATTACTCACTGGCTTTTTATTCTACAAACAACTAACAAGCTTTCAAAACTTCCTACGGTGTTTTTCACACACTTTTTTTTTTTTTTTTGGCACCAAATCATTCAATATTTGTTTTATATAAAAAACAAACTATTAGCTTGTTTCCTTATTCCAAAGACCCCATGTGTTACAGGCTAAAAAGAAAGAATCCTTTGTTGTGTGTCCAAAATTAACACAACCCTTTGGTATTGGTAAATTGGAAGATAAAAGATTATTCTGTTTCCAATAATGTCAAAGCTATTACCTAAATTTTGCTCTGCCCCAATTTCATGCTCTTTTTAGAGAATTTGCCCTAACAACAAAGCCAATACAACTGAACACCCCTCGCCTTTTCGTTCTGGATACTCCATTAATAAATATAAGGGCTGAAAGAGTATGCCGAGTGGGCCAGTTTCCTTTATGCATAATGGTATCGGTCCAAAGCAGTATCTCCAACGACAGTGAAAGTTGTCTTGCAGATGTCCACCCCGAACCGGCCGTCCTCTGTCTCTCAGACCAGGACCCGAGGGGGCAGACGAGCAGAGAACACTAACCTTTCCGCTACCCACCTCCAGAGGAGGGGATGAGGGGAAAGGCAAGACAAGAGAACAGAGTAGGAAGGTGGGCGAATGGTAGAGACAGAAATGGATGCTGAGGGTGTGGGCGAGACGGGAAGGTAGAGAATGCGGGGAGAGGTGGGTGATCAAATCTGCGGGATTAAAGAGCACAGGGGAAAAGGCGGTGGGGAGAGGGGGTCGGTCCTCACCATTGAACGCCCCTGTATCCGCGGCCTCCTCCTCCTCCTCCTCCTGTTCCCCGTTCTCGGAGTCCGTGTGCATGGGCTCCTCGGCGAAGTTGACCCCCTTGCTGGGGGTGCCGCCCCCGGCGGCGGCGCCCGCGTCCGCCCAGGTTTTGCCCTCATGGCCGGAGCGCGCGGCGCCTTCTCGCTCGTTCTCCTGCTGCAAGCGCGTGAAGTGCTGCAGCGCGAACTCCAGCAGGTCCGCGGGCTGGTGCCTCAGCACCTCCACTGTGAAACCCTGCAGCAGCTCCGTCAGTCCCGCCGGGATCTCGATGCTCATCCTGCCTTCTGGGCGGCGGGCGCCTGCGCGCCGCCCTCGTCCCCTCCCCGGGCAGGCCTCGAGCCCCGAGGCCGCCAAGTGTGGACGGTGCTTGAGGCGCTACCGATCGCGAGCGCGGCGCACTGGGCCGGGTGGTCCGGTTGGCCGAGCGCGCGGCTCCTTGGTGTGGCTGTGGCAGCTGAACGAGCACGGCCCCAGGAGGGCCGGCAGCATCTCCAGCTCCTCCCGCTCCCGCCTCGGCCGATCCTCTCCCCCGCCCCGCCCCTCCCCGCCCTCGCCCCCGCCCCCGCCCCTACGCGGCGCGCAGGAGGGAGCGACGGAGCGCGCCCACGTGACCCCCGGAAACCATGGTAACCCCGCCGGCGGGCGCCGCGCATCAACCAGTCGGTTGGCGTCGGGGCTGAGGACGCTGGCGGGTGCGAGCTGCTTTGCGGGGAACGCTGATCCGGCTCGCGGCCGAGGCGTGGGGCCCCCACTCAACACCAAACGTGGTTGTGTCCGCCTCTTCCCCCAACAGCCGCGCCTCGCAGTCCACCTGTCCCTCGGAGCAGGCGGGCCACGTGGCCGAATGCCCACAGGTCATTCACCACGGAACGCACGCAGAGCTGGTGCCACGCGGTTTGCCCTGAAACTTAAGTCTCCACCTCGGTAGCGGCGTTTTATTTTCTTCAGAATGTAGTTGCATGGATAAGTGTAGATAATGTCTTTTGTTTAAAGTCATAGATTGGTACTGATTCTCTTTTGGACAAAGAAATAATATCCCCCATCTTTGTGATACCATCCTTTTTCTTTCACCACATTTTATCCAGCCTTCTCCTGTTTATTATGTTTTGCTTTCATGATACGATTTCATTTTCCACCTTGTGCATTTACTACTATTTATTGAGGCGTACCGTTTATTGTGAAGCACTTATAAAAGTTAGGCGATGCCCTTCAAATAGGGTAGTGTAGGAACTACAATAAAACGTCATAGTTAGGATAGATGGCCTTAAAGCAAAAAAAAAAACAAAAAAAAACCACAAAACTTTGCTTGATTAGACTAATATTGTTTATTTTAAAACTTTCCCTTAGGCCTTGCCTGATTTTGAACAATATCTCCAAAAATAAGAATGCTTCAATATAAAGAAAAATAGAATTAGATATCTGTGCTGTCAAAGTTCACTTTGAAATGAGGCTAATTCTGCAAATGTTTACAATTTTTAATTATAAAATTGTCTTGCCAATTAAATGCTATTTAAAAACACATAGTTCATTTCCTACAATGACCATCATATTATTGTAAATAAAATATTTCAAGGGCAAGCTCCCGTAGTTATTCTGAGTTATCTTTCTACCCACGAAAAAGAGTAAAATACATGACTCAGGAAATTCAGACTAGAAATTGAGATGTAACAAAATAGTCCCTTTCTCTTGATGTTAACCGTTTTTGGTAATCCAACTTGAATTCACTCAATGAGTGAATATTTTCTTTGTTTTCATTTCTTTTCAACCTCATAATAATATGTTTTTAAATACAGTAATGTACTTCTACTTGTAAGTTTAAAGCATTTTAAGAAGCAAGCTTTTATTAAATACCATGATCTCCCTGCGTGGCCCACAATAACCGTATAAGCATTATTGTTTTTATATATCTAGCAATTTAAGACAGCTATTTATTCATGATGTTTTTAATTAAGGTTAGCATTGTTTGCATGTGGTAGAAAATGCAAAATACAATAGCTTAAGTAAGAAGCTTATTTCTCTATAATATAAAATGTAAGCAATTCAGGGCTGTTAGGGGTTCCATGATCATCAGCACCCAGGCTCTTTCCACCCCCTCTACTCTGTAATCTTCAGTTTGTGGTCCAAAATTACTGCTCCATCTTCAGTCATCTCATCCATATGTCAGCCAAAAGGAAACTGGAAAAGAGAAGGGAACTTGCCTCCAACCCCACACATACCCCACCTCTAAAGACACTTCCAAGAAGTTAAACACACCCAGTACTCTTATATCCACTTGGTTAGAACTTAGTAAAGATGGCCACATTTATGGTGTGACAAATTGCATTTTCCAAAGGTGGCTGCAAAAATATCTCTGCTCCATGTGCTGTACTATAGTGTGACTGTGCCACTCCCCTATCAAGAGTTGAAATCTTACTTCCCCCTCCTCTGAATCTGGATAGGTTTGTGACTGCTTTGATAGAAGTTATTCCAGTACAACAGAAACAGCCAGTCCTGTTATTCCCTGTCTGAATCCCGACCCACAGAATTTGTGAGCATAATAGAAAAGTTGTTTTAAGCCTCCAAATTTGGGGGCAATTTGTTACACGGCAATAGCAACTGAAACAAATGGCTATAAGGAAAGTTTGAGAATATAATATTTATTTTGAGCAGTCACATGCCAAGTAAACATTTGGAGATTAAGGGGAGCCAATTCTGGTAACAATAATCAGTGTCTGTAACAATGCTTAACACCCTTTCCCCCAGAAATGGCAGGGAAAAAAGTACTCCTTTTCCAAACATTTACAAGAGCCATTTCAAAGTAGCATCCTAGTTTGTGTTTCAAAATGTGTTTAGTCCTTTTTGTGGATTTATTGCCAGGGTCATGTGGCTGTCATTTCTTTAGAGGTATAGAAGCGAGTCAAGCATGAAATGCATAATTGGATTAGATGGCCTATATAGTCTCTCCCATACTGTGATATTGTACAATAGTATAATATTAAAAGAATATATGTTGGATTTAACAGATCTTTGTAAATAGCTTGCCTCTAACAGTGTTTATTTGCATCAATTCTTAAATCAGTAACCATGACCTGAAAAAGTAAAGCTTGATCCTGATATTCCTCTTATGTCAATATTATTCTCAGAACAAATGTTCACTTTTCAAATCATATTCTGGCTTTTATTCACTACCACATAATCGTTGTGGTAATATATGATTTCCTTTGCTTTCATTTTCAGGATATTTTCTTTTGAACTTTGGAATACAGTGACAGTGGCTTATGGGGACTATTTATCTTTGAATTCTTTAAAAGAACATCACTGATATTGATTTTTTGGTTGCTGATTTACAAAGCAATTTGCACTAGTTTCTCAGAGAATCAGAAGCAGTTGCAAAAACAACAACAACAACAACAACAACAAACTCCAAGAGTTCAGTATTGGAATAAAATAAGAGTGCTACCAAATTTGTTTTTATGCATGGGAAATTTAAAAAATGTTACACAGAGACATCAATTTGTTTATGTGCAGCTGCCAAAGCAGGACAAAAGCATGGACAAGTCAATGGTTTGGGCAAGCTTTACAGTAGAAATGGATCAATGGATGATAATAACTATGACCAGTTGATCACACAGCATTTCTTTTTTGGTTAATCCTCACCTGAGGATATTTTTTCCATTGATTTTCAGAGAGAGGGTGGAAGGGAGGGAGGGAGGGAGGGGAGAGAGAAAGAGATCAATGTGAGAGACACATCAGTTGGTTTCCTCCCACATGTGCCTTGACCATTGAACCTGCAACCAGGTATGTGCCCTTGATCAGGAATCGATCCCTAGACTCTTCAGAGCCCAGGCCAAAGCTCTAACCACTGAGCAACACTGGCCAGGGCCATACAGCATTTCTTATCAATATTTAAGATGTATTCTGCTCAAGTGTCTTTGTTACAAGAACTATATACCAACTCAAGGGAAAAATAGGCAGATTGAAAGTACACAGGGGCTGTGCTTGCACGGGGTCTTCTGTGGCCAGCACTGTCAGTTTTATATACTCTAGCAGTTCAACACTGACTATGGTTTTAGGTCTCTAGTTCATATTTTCAAGAGAGAGAATCCAGTTAATCTTGACCATCCAGTGGACTAGCTGGCCTTGAGTGAAAAGCGCTGTCCTGGTTAGGTCAGTGTGGCCAGTGGGGTGAAAAATAAGTAAGTGGTCAGGTAGTATAATACATGACAAAGTTGGCCTCTTCAGCAGAGAGAAAGTGCAAAACCTGAGCACTGCAGGTGATACAGGCACCTCACAACTTATCTGCTGAAAGATGGTCACTCTATAACCTGAAAATCTTGTAAACATTTGGACTAAGACTAAATGGAAAATTTAATCTCTGGATGCAGCTTTGCAAAAGGTTGCCTTTGAAAGACCCATTTCTCAAACTTTAACAAGCCTCAGAAGCATTTGCCTGGCTTATTGAAACTCAGTTGCTGCCTCCACCCCTTGATTTACAGATTCAGTAGGTCTTAGGTGGGGCCTGGAAATCTGTGTTTCTGTTAAACTCCCAGGGGATGCTTATGCTGTGCGTCTGAGGACTACACTTTGAGATCCACTAGACTAGATTCCCCAAGGAAGAGGTTATATTCATACTAAAAAACAGCTGCTTGAAGTAACTTTTTTTGCTTAACATCAAAGCATAATTTTTTGTTGGCTAAGTAAAACAAAATATGGCTTTATTATTCTGTTTTCCTTCAGTAGGTCTTGCAAAGTTAAAGAGATCCTCAAAAGCAACAGATAATATATCCTTAAATTGTACATTTCATAAATAGAATATGGGTTTCCTATTAAGGACTAAGTTGAACTCACAAGTTTATCTCTGTTTCTTGAAGTTCCACTAAAATGGTAGCTAAAGGAATGGGGAAAATAAAACTGTGAACCCATAAGGACAAAAGAACAAGAGGACCATAATAAAATTTTTAAAAATTTTAAAATTATTTAGCCTTAAAAAGGAAGGAAATTCTGATACATGCTACATCATGGAATAACCATAAGGACATTATGCTAAGTAAAATAAGGTAGTCACAAAAGACAAATACTGTATAATTCCAATTATATGAGGTATCTAGAGTAGTCAAATTTTTTAAAAACAGAAAGTAGTAGGTTGCCAGAAGCTGTAGGGAGAGGAAAATGAAGGACTGTTTAATGGGTAAAGAGTTTCAGTTTTGCAAGATGAAAGAATTCTGGGATTGGTTGCAAAACAGTGTGAATATACTTAACACTACTGAACTATAGACTTAAAAATGATTATAATGTGGAATTTTGTTACATGTATCTTTCCACAATTTAAAT